CTTCTCCCCGCCGAGCGTCCGGAGGCAGAGCTGTGTGCTGTGGCCCAGCCGCCTCCTCGCTCCTTCCTTCCCTGCAGCTCTTTGCCAGCCTGGCTGCCGTTTATCTCCGTTCTAGCGCCCTACACAAGCTCCACCATCGCATTAGAGACGCCTGGCAGAAGTTGCGTACCTCCCCCAAGTCCGCATGCTGCTCCCTTATATACTGACTCCCAGAGAAGTACCGCAGGGACACAGTCCCCTGAAGAGGGGACAGGCTTCACTACATTCTGTGATGCCATATATCTTCCATAAACATTAGATTGTGTGGTGCATGGAGAATATTCACTCCAGTGCACGAGCGAGGTGCCCTGTTTCCAACAACCAGCCCCCCCGGCAGGGACTCCCACCGCGCCTTCCCGCCACAGAAGCATGGCGTGTCACGCAGCCCCGTTCCTTCTCTGAAGCGGAGTGACGTGGACGTGAACGTACTGCTACACGTAATCTCTCCGCTGGAGCAGCTGAATTTGTACGAGTTTGTGTAGGGGTTATCAAAGAGGGATTTGCATGAGTCCAGTGCCATTGCCTCCGAGTAGCAGTTATCATGTGCTTGACAGCAGCTGGGAAAGAAGGAGGAAAAAGTCAGAGAATATCAGAAATGCAAACTCCGCTGACCTGTAAGACATGTAAATACACCAGTATTGCTTTGACAAGGCACTGAACAAACAAGATACCCAGTGATAAGAGGGCAGACATGAGGGACCTCAAAGGGACACAGTTCTGCCAGCTAGTGGTACCAAGAGGTGTCTGGTACACATGTACTTACTGGAGCATCTTCAGAGAGTTGTCCATTGGGCAGAGGGAAAGGAAAAGACAGCATTTACCCTACGCACCCCGTCAGTGCCCAGTAGCTGAAGAGCTAACAGCTGACACAATTCACTGCATCTTGGCTATCAGTCTCGTGTCATCTGTAAACTGCCCAAGCCACTTCTTGGCATTTTGCAGCTCAGCCCTGCACGTGTTGGTGGCCGTGCACTGGGCAGCGTGTGCAGAGCTGTGTCCCAGCTGCTGGCACAGTACTGCTGCAAAAAAAATAAATGCCGGAATGAGTGCAGTCTAGCTGCCACAGAAGAGAAAACAGAGTTGTTGGGATTGTATTTTATCTTAGTAATAAGGCATCAAGGTGTGATACACATCCTTTTTTCCTTGAATCCGTCTTTTGAGAGAAAGCTTCATTCAGAGCAGGCAGAGAGTTTTATGAACGTTTACAGGCAGGGCCAGTTGAGACATAGCTGGCGTGCAGAACCGTGACCGCGCAAGCAAGGAAAGAGGTTTGTAAAAGCAGAGTCTTATAAACCTGTCGAGCTCATCCACTGGAGTCCCGCTGCCTCCCAAGCCGCAGTAGCAGCCGTAGTCAGCATATTCCAGCAGAGGATAGCTGTCTGGAATGGTGCATTTGATCATGCTGCGAAGCTGCCACACAGCCCGGGACGAGAGCGCAGCGCTGGCTGCGCCCACTGAGGAGAGACACAAAGGTTAGAGTTAGGCACGGTGTTACCAGTCCAGGGGGGTGCTGAGGGGGGCGAGTGCCACCTACACACCAGACAGCAGGAAAAGCAGGGCCAGGGACTTCATTCTCGGAGGAGTTGACAGAGAGATGCGTGCTAGAGAAAGCGCGGCTCTTTATACAACAAGCTCACCTTGACATGGGTGTGGATAAACAAGCCAATATTTATGTTACTAAATGCAGACTTCTTCCATCGGAGGCTGTGGGCAGCAGGTTGTGATAGGACCAGTTGAAGGCCAGTGGAGTTAAATCTCTGAAAGCCATGAAGGCAAATATTTGCTCTAGATTTTTGCTATTAAATTATTTTAATGCTGCTATTGGAAGCGAGCCTGAAAGATCTGGACATTTTTAAGGGCTCTCTACTAAAAAATAGTAGCAGTTATGTTGGAAATTGCTGGTATGCTAATATCCATCCTACTAATGCTGGCATCTTCTTTTTATGGTATCCCACTTATTAATCCTGTATTTCTCCGTGGATTCTCCTGGCCTAATTCAGAGAATAAGGTACAGATCATCCACACCCCAAATGGCCATTTGGCATGAGCTGAACTGAAAAAAAAAAATCAAGCTGTTTTATACTTTGAAACCATACAAGAGGAACTACTAGGCAAGAAACAGGAGCCAAGCAACCTGGAAAGCCTCTGTATCTGGCTTAAACAATATTCCGGAATAGAGTCTGGTTTTACATGACCTTAAGGGAGTTACACTGGAAATGAACTGGGCTTGGAAGTTTCAACACACACAGCAGACTTCAGCAGCTCAGACACAGAAGTTTCTCCAGCACCAAAGCAGAACGCAGTTAGACCCTTTGGTTCTCTACGCCAAGGCATGAGGTGAGTTGGGAACCTTGAAATAAGATCAAAAAATGGGTAAGAAAAAGCTTCCTGGAGTCAGCCAGGGGTAAGTCCAAAATGCTGCACTCATATTCAGACCCCAGAGGCTCTAACACTGTCAGGGCGACAGGTTTGGCATTTTCACACACTCAAGATACAGATCCTAGACTGCATTTATTTCAAAAGCACCAAGCAAGCCTGTAGATTTAAAGACCAGAGGAAGAGGCAAAGCCCACCTTTCCGCAACAGCCGGTGCTTACTCAGGAAGCTTAGGGTTCAGCACCCTTCAGTAGGTTCAAATGCACGTTCCTGTAAGGGATGTTGAGGACATCTTCCCCTTACAGTGGCTGAAGCTATGCCAGGGTGCCCATAGCATCCATAGGATGCTGACATACCCACAGGACATCTATTAAAGGTAGGTATGCTGAACAACCAGAACCATTCCGACTTTTTTGATCTCTCTCAAGGTCTCTGGTTCTCTGGGATTCCCCAACTCACACGTTCGCAAAAGCCAAACAGATGCCAAGTTACAGATTCAAGATATTTGTGTCCTAATAGTGAGAACATTGAACAAACATTAAAGGCTGATATAAAGGACAGTCTGTACCACAGTTATTTCAGAAACAAGGATTTAATCTCTTGCCCACAGATCAATCTGCTTACTTTCCCTTCAATATCTATTTAAGTGTTCCCTTTCTTCTTTGCTACTTTGGCCACCTCTACTCTTTTTTTTTATTTTCTGTTCCCTTACCTGTGAACATTAGGACACTGTGGTTCCTTTTTCCTCACTTTTCTGTGTCCAATTTATTATTGATGTTGCCACGAAAACTTGCAATAAACTGGCTTTTAAAGTAAAAAATCAAAAATGCTATCGTATCTTGGATTTCTTACATTTTAATTCAACAAGAGGATCACCAAGTGTGGGAAAGCGAGCATGTGAGCATTACAAGAGTGCCTCATGAGAAAAATCCCAGCAGGGGAAAAGATTTTTCCGCCAATACTATTTTTGGTTTCCCCCAACCTGTGCTGCATACAAAGCCACTGGTCCTCAGTATGCTCGTGAGGACGTCCCAACTTACATCTGGTTCCTGAACTTACAGGTTTGAGCCTTGGATTATTTTTAAGAATTCTCTATAATTAAAAGCTGTTGCACAGGACTCCTAACCCTATTGTACACTGTTAGAATTTACCTTTCTCTTGTAGTGTTATCCGTTAGGGAATTCCCTTCCGACCTCTGCATTTTACTTTCTTAGATCTAGCCTTCTTGGTCCACCATAGTCATTGAATCCAGAGCGTCTGAGCCAAACTTCTAAGCACCTCACTATCTCCTCCTTTCTTGAACCTACAAATATCTATACAAAACCTCTGTAACACAGAGAAGAGACATGATCTCTGTTAAAACCAGATCTGCCTCACAACTAGGCCAATGCCAAAGTCTGGGAGCAGAACACAGAGGCAGAGCCCTGCCTGGGGCTTTCATCCTATGCAACTCCTGCCAGGTCCAAGTTCTCCTGAAATCTCCTCCATTTGAAGATCTCCCACCCCCAAGTAACGACAGAGAAGGACAGTTTTCAAATAATTTATTAGGAATTTAAAACTGAAATCTGGAAAAAGGGTTACAGGTGTGGAGAGAACAAACATTGGAGTGTAATAACTTACTGGCTTAAAAACACAGCTTTATTTCTTTTAAAAAAAATGCCCACCCTGAAACCGGACCCCCAGCCTCCGGGCAGTGGCAGCGCTGGCTGGAGAGTGAATCCCAGCCCAGCAGCAGCACAGCTGGCCCGGGATGTCTGGAGGGGGCACGGAAGCAGTTCAGCGCATATACCAAGAGGGAGGAAAGCGCTGTCCGCAGACCCAAATTTGAAGTATATAGAATAAAAATAAACCCAATAAAATGCAGCTCTTCTTTAATTAGGAAATATTTAAAAAAACAGACATACAGACTCTTGTCTCAGTAACAAAAATTATTGCTTTGTGTTTTCAGTACTAATCTGTTAAGTACCCTCTTACCTAAACAGAACTCTCCAAACGCATCGCCCAGGTCAGGACAAGCTCCGGCAGACGGGGGAGGGATGGAAAAGAAGGGCCCTGGGGGCACTGTGGCCCTCCCAGTCCTTTCTAAACGCCCCTCTCCCTTACAGGGGCTCAGTTTGGGGGAAGAGAGGGAATGATTTTTTAAAACTTAAGATGAAGCTGTTATTTCCCTGGGAAAAGAGTTTGGCTGCATCTTAATAAAAGGCTTAATCACCCCCCTTAACAAGGTCTTTGGTTCACTGAAATCCAGACCCAAACCTGCCCCGTGTTCCTGCCGGAGGCTTCCCCTGGCAGAGGGCTGCTTAGCAGGGGCCCGGACCGCGCCAGGAGAAGCCCCGGCAGGTTCTGGAGAAGGGACCAGATCACCCCTGCACAGGACAACGGACAAATTCCCACAGTCTTCAGAACACAGTGTAAAGCAAACAGGAAGCTGCGATTCTAGAATTCATATAATCCCTGAGAAGCCCTTAACCCGCCCCCAAATCACCACCCTAATGCTTTCCTCCCCCGTTAATGACTCCCCACCCCAGCGCCCTGCCCTTCGGAGAACAACCACCCGAATCTCCCCCGGCCGACGGCCCTTCCGATACCCTCGCCTCCGGAGGAGGGTCCCCTTTCCCAGGAAATCTTGACGCAAGCGATAGCGTTTGGAGAGTGAATTCCTTTCAAAGTAACCAAGACAAGCGATGGCGGTGAAGCCCTTTACCTAAAGCCAAACCAGAGGCTGGCACTACGGAGCCCAGGGATGGAGTCTGTACATCGAGCGACTGGAAGCAGCTTTAACCCGCTCAGCAAAACAGCCGATGGCCGGTACGTTTCACCCCCGCCCCCACCCCCCCTTTCAGCTCATCAGAGGTCTTAAAATCTTACAGTAAAAGGTGTACAAAAAAAGAACGGAGTCCTGTCAGGATTCTGCTGGAGAGTATTGCTCACACTGTGGCACCAAGTCCAGGACCTGGAGCTGCTCCTTGGAGCCAGGCTGCAGGCGGCAGCCAGGTTCAGCTCGCGATATTTACATATTATACAGGAGGAAAAAGAAAACCCCACGTAAAACTAAACCTAGGAAAAAAAAAAATTCTTTCAGCTGTAAGGATAGTGTTTTTCACTTAGCAAAATATACATTTGTTTTGTTCCATAGCGATGTCCAACGTTTTCGGATCCTTGGAGTTTCACACTTTTCAAAGCCTCACATTTACAAAACAGAAACAATTAAAAACAGTTTCTTTAAAAAAAATAGAAATACATCAGTTCCTCTCAGCCTTTGCTCTCTCTGTGTCTCTTTCTTCCCTTCAGAACTGCATTCTTGTTACACACCGTGCTTTAAAAACACTGACGACAACAACAACAGAGTTGAAAATACTCAAAACAGTTTCAAAGCCAAATAAAAATACTCCTCAATAAAAACTACCTAACACAATCACAAAGCCAATTCATAAAATATGTCTACTAGCTCGGGAAAGAGCAAACAACAAAAAGAAGGGGTAGCCCCCCCCCAAAACAAAAGATAAAAAAATAAAATAAAAAAATAAAACTAACAGCTAATAAAATAAATAAAAGAAGAATCGGTGGGCTGGGGCAGGGAGGGGGGAAGCGTAAACCGTCGGTGGTTAGTAAGAAAGCGAGATGATCTCCTCGGGTTCAGTCCAGTGTGGTCTGGTCAAAGGGAGAGATCAGGGCAGGGCGGCAGGAGCCTGGCGGCCGGCCGGCAGTGTGCAGTTTGATTCAAGAAAAAGGTAACCTTGGCTCATCCCCCGAGGCTCACCAGATCCTCCAGCCGCTGTCCTCGGTCAGGTCACTGGGGAATCTGCGGGACACAGCACGGGAGGGAAGGGACAGAGCTACAACAACCAACAGCTCTCTCGGGGTTTTCTTCCGGTGTGATCCGACAGAAATCCCTGATACCCAAACTTGCCCCAACACAGACTTGCTCTGCGTCCCGCTGGCACCGCGGCGGGGCACGGCAGAGATGCTTCCGTCTTTTATGGCACGGGGCAGGCCTGGGAAACAAGGCCCCACACGCCGTGCGCCTGCCTGCCCGGACCTCCGGCACTCCTGGCTGCGGGTCCAGCTGCTTCTCCAGCGCTCAGCTCAGTGCCCTGGGCTCCTGTCTGGACACTGTTCCCTGCAAGTTTTTGCCCTCCTTTTTGAAAAGCTGGAGTTTTTTTAATTTTAAGCCAGCTAACTTCAGCCACGTTTGC